TCATTTATTCAAATTAGCTGATATTACTAAACATCAAGAGAACATATAAGTGATCGTGTGATGTATCGATGGGCGATTGGAAATCCTGGAATTTTCCTTGTAGTGACGTCACATTACATATTAGAACGGCTTGTTAACATGACGTCATATATTTATGATAATTAAACGGAATCGAAAGACTGATAATTAAGTTAGTTGAAAATTCAAACTTTTTCCGCGATATTTTTCTTACAGACCGCTGGAAAAGCGCTGAATTTCATATTTTGCAATTCATTGTTAACATTACCGCCGCGAGAACTAATTACGAACTTATGCTGATCAGTGAAACTGAAGAGGTGTGTCTTAAATCGCTACTAATGAGCGAATGTTTACAAACAACCGACGCATATAAAAGACAGCCTTTGTAATAGTCACCCCCACCCCCCTTTTTTTTCCCTAAAATACCTGGATCCGCCCCTGAAAGACTTGCGAAACTAAACATTCCCACGCACTGAATCATAAGGTTTGAATAAAGACCCCTTGCAACTATTTCCTAGAAGAATAAATTGTCTTGAGGGGCAAAACAATAGGCCGTCTTTTCTCATGCAAAAATTAAAATAAATAAAATCATCCATTGTTTTGTCACCCAGAACGCACAATTTCTCTCGGGACTCAATGCAAGGGGTCTATTGAAATATAATCAAGCATTTGAGTTGAGTAAACCGAAGAAGATTGGCAAGGAAGGTTCAGAAGGGAGTGAAGAACACAAGCCGTTTAGTGAGTTACAAACAGTAGATGAATCTAAGAGAAAAAGTAAGTTAAAAAAATTGTTTAGACAAAAGAATGACACGGATAAACTTAGGGTAGAAGGCAGCAAAGGTCCAACAATACAAGCGACTTGTTAGTGTCGAATGACTGGAACTATTTTTGGTTGTTGTGACTTGAGATGACCTTCAAGGAGAGAGGGATTATAATGGTGTTGTTCAATATCTTTATACCAGGGTAGAAACACATTAAAGTCTTCCAAGTAGTGAATGTATTGAAGCTTCAAGGATGTTTAGGGTGAGTATAATGTTTTAAACTCACTTGTCAACTGTTTTAACAATTTGTATAAAATATTTGCATATATATTGGTCACCCTGTGGATCGAACTCGAAAACGAGGCATTTTTGGACAACATATCAAAAATGCCTCAACAACCTCCAGTGTATGCGGGCTTAGCCTCGAATCCAGGAGTTGCTTGTTTTGTTACTCATATTTCAGAAGCGAGTCTAGGCCAGCAGACTGGTGTTTTATGAATCGTCAATACCTTCAAAACATTAAAATAATTACACTTGCTTTCCTTAAAGTGTATATGACACGAAAAAATTTTAATGTTAAGAATGTGTAGTTTATTGGCATTAATAAGAATATCACGGTTAAATTTGTTCCAAAAACGTATTTCTCTAGAAATTCAAAACATTTTAGCACGAGTTGTGACGTCATTTTGTTTACAAGTCTCCAGATTTAGTTGCAAATACACGAAATATGTTTGAATGTAGAATCTTAATTTCAAGTAGTACACTTTTCAATTTCCCAACATTGGAAGAGTACTACGTAAGCTATCAAATGAAGCTGACTAAAATATGTCTTTTGTTGTTAATTTATATGAATTACAATTTATATTTAGTACATTACTACTGAATCTAGAGTACGTGTCAACAAAATGACGTCACAAATTGGGATTAACTTTCGCAAATATCTCAAGAAATAAGCTTTTGAAACAAATTTTGTTACGATATATTTATTATTACTAACAAACTATACATTTTAAATGATGGAATGTTTTCGTGTCATATACACTTTAAAAAAATATTAATTCGTTATTCAAATACCTTTGCTCCCTACCTTTGAGCTTATCTATATGGCCCCAATGGTGGCCAAGCCACATATTTTCTTTATAGTAAAATTTTTATTCAGCATCTAAATTGTGAGTAAATGACGTCATTTACTCAAACCTATTGTTCTTTTTGCTTTTAAACCAAAATTTCTCAACAGCAAGTGGCTCACAGGCTAAAATTTTCACTAATCATGTTTACATAGTCATGATTTAGTCATATTATCCTCAAATACTTCAATTATTTGGACTTTCAAAAATTGGGGCGTTTTCATCCAAGTGCCCCTTAAAGAAATTTTTCTTTTAGAGGGAAAGCTTGCGTAAGAATGAATTATCAATAAGAGCCAATCAGAATCTATTATATATAATCATACAATATTCGCAGGGGATCTAGACCAAGGTTTGTGGCGCTGATTTGGGGAAAGACGTTACAAAAAAATATCCGGATGCAACGCAGGCTACAGGGAGGCCGAGCAACGATTGTAAAATGTAAAACTGTGTTTGAGCTTATTTTCAGTTTTAAGACAACATTTGTGAGACCTGCAAATGCACCGCCCTTCTTAAAATTATTTAGAATGCGAGGCGAACATGGGAATACAAAAGAAATGCCACAAATTCCATCGAGAAAAAGTGTGATTTGTTTTGTATTTCCATGTTAGGCTCACATCCACGATACTTTTGAGACGAAAGTCAAACATGTTAATCCAACTTCTTCGTTGTTATCTCTTCAAACACCATATTGTTTTTTCCCGTGTTGAGTTTTAATTAAATATCTTTCGTAACGTAATGAAAATACTGTTGATTAATTATGATGGTGTTTGTAGTTGTTTCACTTGTCGTATTTAATGAAAACCAGAAACTCATAAGAAATTGAAACGTGTAACAGCCATACACTTCTTGAGTTCGCTTCTCTGGACTTAATGTTAAACTTCTTTATTTGACAATTTTTCCCCCAGGAAATCCCGTCCTCTTGCTTCAAAATTCAAAATGTTTGATTGAAAGATTCAGTAAATCTCCTCTGAAACTCAGGAAATTCAGCGAGAAGTTTGATATGAGAGGCGGTCATCTTGAAAGCAAAACTCAGTCGTATGCGATATTCTGGGGTACGGATATAGTATTCATTTTTTTCCGGTCCGGTATCCTAAAAACCGTGCGTTCTGATTGGCTGTTTGAGCGGGCGGTATATTGTCAGTATCTGCCCGCGCTCACGGTCCGGTATCTTTTGTCGCTAAACAACAAAACAAAATAATTACAAAAAGAAGTTTAAAAAAATACGGAGAAAAAAGTTATTTACCGTCCTATAGTCGGTCCGGATAGGGAAAAACGTAAATAACATATATACACGTTTCACCTCCCATAAATAAGTTTCTGTGAAAACCGACAAAAAAATTTTATGCTGTAAAAATCTTGATTAATTTGTTATCTCTAACGGCTTTTATGAGCCCACGAGCGTTTATTTGGCAAAGACTGATGAATTACCATAGGAACGTTTGAAATAGTATTAAGGAAGTATAAATGGTTTCATGCTCAATTTTATATTTCATGTTTAATGTTTCAAATGAGTCCTTCAAATTTAGGAAAGTAGATAAATAGATAGATAGCTTTATTTATCCACAGTAGATCCTTCAGGAGAAATTAYATTATATCACTAATTAATTAAAATCATATCAAAGAATAAACTAAGCTTACTAGACTAAACTACTCTACACTCACTACACTACACTAAACTATATATATATTTACAGTTATGAAAATAAAATGTATTGCTCTAAGGGAAAATAAAATCTGCTTTGCAAGAATGCCGTGCTTTGAAATAATAGAATACGAAATAATGATTAAATTTCATTCATGTTGTAGCATTAAAGATTTAAAAGACTTTATAGTTGTAACTGTTCTCAGTTCATTTGGTAAGCTGTCCCAGAGAAAGCCACCACTATAACCGAAGCTTTTTCTAGAAGCAATTTGTCCTTGGCATTTCAGAACTACCTTACGTTCTGTGTTTACTAAATCGTATTTATTTTGTTGTTGTAAGGGTAAAAGCCAGCCTAAACTACAATATATATCATTCGTTCGTGCATCATAGTTTGAGAAGGTTATGATTCGCGCAGCACGATTTTGAAGCTTGTCTACGAGACCTTTGTTGAATCCATCCCATACTGCCCTGCAATAATCAAAACGCGGTTGAACGAGAGCATTATAAAGTACAATAAGTGTTTCTCTTGGAACGAATTGTTTCAAGACGGATTGAAAAATGAATGAAATAAAAATAAAATTCGCAGTTGATTCCATGGCTCTTCTTCCACTGGATTCCAATATGGAATTTAGAAGTTTATTCAGTTTTCAATATACGTTGAGGTATAAATACCCTCGAAGCACAGACGCAACTCTATTAAAATACGACACCGATTCTGAGAAACGAACTCGGTCGCATTATTGTAAATATGTATTAAAGCTTATACAATTTAGTATAAATCAATTCATCTTATTTAGTTTTTAAATCAAATTCACACAGCCAGATTTTTATAGTGGACGAGTCAAGTATGTTGAAACATGACGAGGTCGTATTAGTATCTGTTCATTTGACTACATTTCTCTGTCATCTTTAGCACTTATTAGTTCCAATTTTTTTAATTTTTGATTTACTTTATTTCTAGTTCAATTCGTAATTTTTTTCGTTCCAGAAAATTTGCGCAAAACATCTGCTACATCTAGCAGAACTCCGTCTTTTTCCATAAGCAATCGTTCCTGTTTGGCATATCATATTTTACCTACATGTTATCAAATATATTTATATTAGGATTACATATTGAATATAGAAATTGTTCCCTGTGGGACGAGGTAACAATTGCTTGTCTGTCAAATAAAGAAATACATTTATTCACTTTCAGCAGCTGTAAAGTATATTTGGACTGAGAAAGTAAAGTTGATTAAATTTGGAAGGCCAAACCCCAAAGACAAACAGTGTGTTCCAAAGCTTTTCATGTTCGTGTTGCTAGCTTTGTACAGTCCAAAAGTCAATTCAAAGATGTCGACATTGTAAGGAAAACAAGACGGGTAGTCTATGATGTTGTAATATTATACATATCTTTACGAATCATATCGTTGTATTCTTAATCTTAAAACAAGCAGTTGATTGTTGTCGAGAATGAACACGACTAACCAGACAAGCAGCATAAGCAAGAGACGGATGGAGTTCATGAACCGCAGTCTTGCTACCATCGCTGTAGAGACAAGTATCTTACTCCTTATTGCACTGATTGCCATTGGAGGAAATCTTCTGGTAGTAATCTCCATCTATCGTAATCGCAGCCTTCGTACCATCACTAACTACTTCGTACTCTCGCTCGCGATGACTGACATTCTGTTTCCAACCCTAAGTTTGCCTCTCAGTCTCTATTGGTCGATACAGGACCGATTTACTTCCACGCCTGGTACATGCGAGTTTCAAGCTGTATTAAACACCAGTCTAGTATGGGTCTCTGTTAGCAATCTTCTCTTCATGGCCATCAATCGGTTTGTTCGCGTCTGTAAACCTCAGAAATACAAAAAGGTGTTCAGCAGGAATAAAGCTTTGATCATGATCGTTGTTATCTGGGTTGGAAGCTTTTTCTCGAGTGCGCTTTATCTAAAAGGGGGGCTTGAATTGGTGCGCGCGCGGTTTAATCCATCCAATATTGCTTGTAGGTACGTTTATCAAGCAACAAATGTAATATCAATGATAATAACGAATATAACCATTTGTCTCGCCCTCTTTTTACCATGCGCCACTATCTTTTATTGCTACTTAAAAGTTTTCATGAAAATTCGCGAACACAAGAAAAACATCGCTCCTGCCTCCAACCCAAACAGTCTGGGCACAAGTATACAGGAAATCAAGGTCACGTGGACTGTGTTTTCAGTTTTGATTGGTTATTTACTTACGTGGATTCCTGCTCTCCTTCTTGCATTGACAATTAACTTGTTTTTTGAGAGAGTTAAGGTTCCTCGTCAGGTTCGCATGATAACGATATACTCTGCATCTAGCAGTTGTGCCATCAACCCTGTAATATATGGGCTAATGAATCCAGGCTTTCGACAAGAATGCAAAAAAATATTCAAACTGATGTGAAAAGATGGAAATTCAACGATGTAAATATAATGTAAACTATACTCGTTACATAATGTAAGTGAAGTGCTGCGGATATATGCAAGACCACATTTTACCAACAGCCGGCACCATGATACTTGAAAACATTCATCAACAATCTCCGTTTTTAGTGTCGGTCGTCACGCAACTCTCCCTCCCCAGACTAGCCGATGCTCGATATAAGTGGGCCTTCGCTCTTAAAGCGTAAATTTTCCACCTGGTTGATCAATTAACATTGATGTAACAGAAAATAAACTCAAATATAATTTAGGTTTCCAAGATTACTTCAGATACCACGCCGCTGTCCACAACTATACTTCGAATGATACTACCCGAAATGGCACCAACTTCAGTTTCGTGACTATGGTAACTGTCAACCAAAATTTCTGCGCTATTAATAGCATATATTAGTAGTTCCTCTTATCAAAGATATAATAACTTTTAGTATATATTGAGAGTGTGACAGAAATTAATTTCATGTCAAATAATCAGTCGTGACTAATTTCCACTTCGAGGGTAATAAATAAATATGCACTTAAAAGAAAGTCCTACAGTGTACGAGATTGCTTCGAGCAAATGTAAGCTGGTTTGAATCGATCGATCAAAAGCTATATTTAGTCTAAACAGGCCATCGATATGTTATCCCTTTCAGTATATAAACTAAATCTCCTTAATCAGCCTTGGAAAAATTATTATCGGCAAGAATAAACACCACATTTGTTTGCTGTAATCTCGTAATTCTCAATAATACATGAAGGAAGACATGTAAACTTAATATCTAATGATGCAGTTTGGCTTTCGCGCCGAAATCAGTCGGGGAACATCAAATGAAGAAAATGCAATTATCTTTACCACAAGCACAATATTACTGCACAGCAACTGGATTGCTTTTAGTATTGACTTTCTTCGATTTAGGAGTCGACACACAACTAACATATTTAGTTGTTGTTGACAATCTTGGATCAGAGGTAAGAAAATGCGTTGAAATTTACCAAGTGAATGTTTTAAAAATATGAGTCAATTTATTTTCCTAAACTTGAGTAATCATTCCATAGGTTAGATAGGATATTATTATTATTTCCCTAATGTTTTAGTACAACATGGTTCACAGTTTTTTACGCAAGTTTTTTCGGTCGATCATCGTCAAACTGGACATAGTAGCAGGTTTTTTTTTTTTTCTTCCATAAAAACTAAAATGATTGTTAAATATAGATAGAGCAACATTGTGGTCAGTTTATTTATTCATTTTATTTTATTCGTTTGATTTGCTTCTTATTCAATTGCACATCTTTCTTTTGATAAGAACTTGAATTTACCTTTTTTTCTTTTAATTAAGACCCTCTTATTAAAAAACCGGGAGAAAAATCAAAAGAAAAGATTAAAAGCGAGAAATCTCGAGTACAAAATAGTCTTAGTCAGTTAGTCATAACTACTTAGCAAAACTGACCAACGACGAAGAAAACAAAAAAAGACAGCCAGGATTCGCTCTCAACGGTACCGATGCTAAACTCTATTTACTAATAAAGAACTCCTTCCACTTATTTGGTCTCAATCGTTTTTTTAAAGAGCTTGTATATTCGGGAAAAAGAAAATTAAATCTGACGAAACGGCAATTTGCGCAGTCCAAACCCAGATGTTTGAAGCATGGCTTGAAATATTCCAGATAGTTATAACCAAGCAACTAAATTTTTTCATATCAAATTTAACCCAGCTGACGCTTATTGCTTCAACCCTGATAAATCTTGCTTGGAATCAAAAGGAGCTTTCCGGCCGGATGACTTTCAAATTTTACTGATTAATACCCTGCAAAAGCCTCTGAGCTGATCTCAATCAGGGCACGGCTGAACTCACAGATAAAACCCTTTAAACAACATTCGGGTTGATCTAATTCAGGGAACAGCTAACTCCGTAACTGAGATCAAACTCTATTCATAACTAACCTCTGGGCTAAATATAAGTCAGTGACGGACTACGGCTAACTGATAGATTTCCACCATAATTTAGTCAAAATAACTATATTTTCTATTTTATAGGACGATGAACGTAGAAAACTCGTCTACATTGAGTAAAGAATGGAAAGATTTTACAACCCGCATTCCAGCTACCATCGCTGTAGAGACAAGTATTTTACTCCTTATTGCACTGATTGCCATTGGAGGAAATCTTCTGGTAGTAATCTCCATCTATTGTAATCCCAGTCTTCGTACCATCACTAACTACTTCGTGTTGTCGCTCTCTTTAGCTAATATTCTTCATCCAATATTGGGTATTCCACCGTCTATTTTCTGGTCAATACAAAGCCGTTTTACCTCACAACAAGGGGTTTGTGATTTCCAAGCTAGTTTTTTCACCAGTTTCATTTATGTGTCGGTGGTGACCATCATCTTAATGGCGGTCAACCGTTTTGTTTGTGTCTGTAAACACGACAAATACAAGAAGATCTTCAACAAGAAGACTTCTCTGTTGATGTTGGGATCGGTTTGGGTCATCAGTTTTGCAGGAGTTCCTTTGTATAACGAAGCAGGGTTGAATCAAACGAAAGCAAGTTTCATACCGAGTCAACTTCGATGTGGCTTTTTAATTAACAAGGAAACCACCTCAAAAATACTAGTCAACTTTATCATTGCAATGACTCTCCTAATGCCATTCACAATCATCACCTACTGCTACTACAAAGTCTTTAAAAAAATCCGAGAACACAAGAGAAACATCACTCCTGCCTCCAACCTAAACAGCCTGGGTGCGCATGTGCAAGACATCAACGTCACGTGGACTATGTTCGCTGTTTTGATTGGATATTTCATGACTTGGATGCCCGTGTTGATAATTACTTTACTGAAAAATATTTTCGGTTCTGCAAACTTACCTCGTCAGGTCCACATGATCGTAACTTACACAGGATCGATGAGCACTGCTGTCAATCCTATAATATACGGAGTAATGAACGCATCCTTTCGACAGGAATACAAGAGGATATTTAGATGCACATAAGGTATTGAGACGACACCAAATTTATACCTATAGAGCCCTTGTTCTTCGCCGCCGGCCAGAAGTAACGCAGGCTCTGGGTATGAGATTGATGCATACCCACTACACTACTTAAGAGAGTCCAGACTACGCATGTGCAACCAGAAAGTTGGATGTCTTTACTATATACTGAGTTCTTCAAGTATTCCCGTTTGTTCTAGATCGCATTCAGCTCAAACGTACCGTATAATCTGTTATCTATATACCTTTATCTTACCTGTCTTTGTTGTACATGGGTATACCGCCTAGAATGTATGCTGACGACTCAACTGTTATCTATGCAGCCTCAACACTGAACAATCACCAAACACAAAATATCTGTATTAGATCAAATAATTAAGCCTTGATGTTGCTAAAACTGAATTTATGGTTATTGGCTCCGGCCAAAAGCTACTAACTGGAAGAGAAAGTACTATCACCATACAAGTTGATGATAAACAAATAAAAAGGGTTGACAATACTAAATTTCTTGGGGTTTTTATTGATGACTACTTGAAAAATGGAAAATTCAGATCTGTGAAATCTCTAAAAAGATTTCCTATGGACAGGCGCCCTTAAAATAGTCAGACCTTTCGTTAATCAACACACTGCAATAAAAATATACAAGGCTCTGATAGAGCCACACTTTGAATATTGCAGTTCGTCCACCATCGTGGACGGGCTGTGTATCGAAGGAAACGCTCTACATAGGCTGTCTCCCTCCTTCCCGCCTGAAAGAAGGAAGAGAAAGAGGAGAGACTCTGCTAGCAGGGAAATTTATAATATAGCTGATGTTTTTTATCGTGTTTAGATAAAGTTGTCTGTCTGTCTGTCTGTCTGTCTGTCTG